TCATATTCCTATCCTGCATCAGACTCCCTGTGTTGTTTAACCCCCCGAAAAGGAGTCAGAATCCCCTACAAAGCATCCATGTTTCCCAATTTTGCCTGAGGGGACCTTGGGGTTTGTGGGTTTTCCCCAATATTCCTCCCTCAATTCCAAGATCCCTGTCTGTTTGAACTCTCTTGGGAGCAAGCCCAAATAGGTTGGGTGCTCCTTTCTGGGCTGAGGATCTGTGTCTGTTTTCAAAGCAGGTCCTGGATGTGAGGACAGAAAAGCTGATGAAGTAAAAGCATCCCCTTTAGGGTGGAGTGGGGAATGGGATCAAAAACAATGTAGGGGCCCTCCCCGGTGGCGCAGCGGGTTAAAACACAGGACTAAGAAGCTAAAGCCACTTCCTCATGAGTTCAATCCCCCGCCTGCCCCGGAGGTGACCACATGGCGCGGCAGACCTCTCCTGACCCGCCAGCTGCTCCCCTCAGCAGTGTACTTTGTAGATCTGCCTGTTCTGTGCCCCACTCTGTCTCTGGTGAATCCTCTCACCGCCCCTGCACCTCAGGCCTGTACCCCAGTTCTGAATGCACAAATAAATAAAATCTTTAAAAAAAAAAAAGTGTAGGGAGGGAAATGCACTGGACTTTGGTGATGGCACACGGGTGATTTGGTGATGGGAAGCCCAAGGGGATTACAACTGAGATGGAAAAATGCACAAAATGATGTTTAAAAAATTCCCTTAAAGACCCCAGAATGTAGGGATCTGGGTGGACTGACAGGTGGGAGTCGGAACTGGCAAGTCCATAGTAACCCCAGACCCCAGGGAGCCGCCACACTGTAAAGTCATCCAGCTGCCCCCTTCTCACACGCTGAGAGGCCAGCCCTGGCCTCAGGTTGGGCAGCCAAGCCCCCGGGACAGGCAGGCTGGCTAGATGTTCTGCCCTTGTCTGTGGTTGTTGTGAAGGGAGGAGGGTCTGAGCTGGAGCGGGGACTGGAGCAGTGGGGTACGCAAGGGGAGTCAACACAGGGAAGATGCTGCTCCCAGTGCTGTCTGCCTCTCACAGTTGCCTCTGCTTCAAAATCATGACCTTGCCACAGACAAGCTCTCTCCTGCTTCTCAGACAGAGGTTGGCCCCGAAGGCCACCAGACTGAGAACCTCCCTACCCCCACAGGTGCTGTGGGGGGCGGACACTGTTGGAGGCAAAGTGTGGAGGGGGAGAAATTGGAGGTCCTGAGGGAGCTCCTGTGAACATCCTCTTTGTCTCCTTGTTCCTATGGCATTTGACTTGCTGAAGGTTAGAAAAGGGCTGTGAACAGGTAGCTAAGTTTGAAATGTGCAGGAATATCTGGGAGCCACGAGTGGAGTTGCAGAAAGAGAGGGGCAGGCAAAGTTTCCAGGGCCTTCTCTAGTCACACTGCACAGCTACTCACACCTGATCTTCAGGGTTAGGCCTGGGGGGTCTGCTCCTAGGTGCCGGTCTCCAGTTATACAGTGCCGTGGACACCACGCGTTACAGTCATACCGCCGTGATAGTTCACATCCTTAGTCATCTGCCTGTCTCTTCTGCTGAATGTAAGCTACCACACAGGGACTGGGCTAGAAGCTTCCCTCAACCTCACATTGATGCACACAGCAAAACTTAGTAGGTACTTAAGAGATGAGTGAAGTGGGGTTTTTGCCCACGTCTGGGGCAGCCCGTAGTCCAAACTTGACATTCCCCTTGTCTTTAATTCCCAGCCCCAATCTGACTACATCTCCATGAGTTGAAACCTTTGCTCAATTTAAAAGGGCCAGATGCAGATTAGGGATAAAGACTCGACTCGTTGAAGTCTGTGATTTACGTCTCACCCACCTTCCAGTCAGCTATTCTAAAACATGTCACTGATTAGTTGGGCCAGCATGCTGTATGTGGATTTTCAGATTCTCAGAGGATGATGCGGCCAGCCCTGCTGACAGAGGCTGAGAAAATTCAGACAAGTGTCATCATCACTCCCCTGAGGAATCAGATCTGAGCTGGGAAAGGGAGGGTCTGCGCCAGAGCCCAGCCTGGAGGCAGCCTGCCTCCCCAGTGTCTGGCCTGTTCGAAGCCTGCCAAGTTGTTTCCGGACCTAGACCTCGGAAGGGCTTGTTTGGCATTGTGGGGTGTCGGCATGGCAACCGTATGGGGGGGGGTTCTCAGAGGTCCTGATTTTTAATATTCTGTCCTGCTGTCAGTCCATGTGTTACAGATTTTGATGTGAAGTTTTTGACCATGGAATCTGTAATTCTAAAGGGAGATCCTGACTCCCTCCCTGTATGACTACTGACAATGTGGCAGGGCTTATAATCTTTCCAGGCTGGACTTCATGGGAAAGCAGTGGATCTGGGGACACCCAATTTTGTCTACGCTGATGCACGCTGGCTCTCCGTCTCTGGAAGAATTTTGTGATTGGTTTGGTGACAGGTTTTCCATTCTCTCACAGGCATGGGTGGGGCGCTGAGGTGTTAGAAAGACAGAATTTCACCTTACAGACATTTTTTTTTTTTTAAAAAAAGGACTATCCACAGATGAGATGTTTTCATTGTGACAAGTCTCCTATTTGGAACTAGGAACGTTTTAGACAAAAATTTTCCTAAACCGGAGTTTCTTTTTTAAAAAAGATTTATTTATGCATACAGAGCTGGGGTACAGGCCAGAAGTGCAGGGGCAGTGAGAGGCTTCACCAGAGACAGAGTGGGGAGCAGAACAGGCAGATAGCTGAAGTACACTGCTGAGGGGAGCAGCAAGCGGGTCAGGAGAGGTCTGCCACGCCATGTGGTCACCTCCAGGGCGGGGATCAAACTCATGAGGAAGTGGCTTTAGCTTCTTAGTGTTGTGCTTTAACCCGCTGCGCCACCAGGGAGGGCCTAAACCAGAGTTTCTTAACCTGTGATTGGATACTCCTGAGTGACTGTGCGCAAAACGCTTTAACCATAATGGTTAAATGAGCCTTGTCTAAGGCTGATCCTTAGACAAACAAATGATAACTTCACTTCTAGAAGCAAATCAGTGGCCTTCTGGGTGCTCTCCTGAGGGTGCGGTTTGTTTCTTGACAGGGCCTTGCGGTCAGGAGAAGGTCCTGCGTGACCCTCATGAGGGCCCGCTTACCTAGCAGAATGGCTGCTCCAGAGCTTTTCTCTGACAGTAGACTTCAGCCAAATCTGGATGAGTTTATATTTTATTTATATTTTGTGCATTTTAAGACTGGAGGATAGGATTTGCCCGAATGACAGACAGCGATTTCCCTTTTTACGGAAGCAACATCGCGTTACATTATGTAAGTTTCAGGTGTGCGCCTTGGAGCACGGGCTTGTGTGCAAACTACCTTAAGTTCAACGTCTGTTACACGTCTGATTTTATCCTTCGCCATTTTCTCCTTGTCCTGACTTACCTTCCTTGCTGCCTGTTTCCCTTCTGGTAGCCACTAATTAGCCTTACAACCCAAAAGTCTATTTTCATTTTATTCAGTGTATCTGGGAAATGATTTCATATTGGTCTAGGTGCCACACACAAGGACGGGAGACACAAACACCTACAAGTCTCTTTGCCAAAACGTTCAGATTGAAAGGGCCGGTTTCCATCACCTGGGTCCCCTCACGGGTGCATGCTGAGATCTGTCGCTTGGACTTGGAGA